AAAGTCAGCCTCATAGAAAACTCCTGAAAGCAGCAGAAACGTTATCCATCATTAGTCAAGTAAACTCGCGTGAAGAACTACTTCCTGTATAGAAACCAGGTAGCTCCAAAGTGACTATAAAGCTCCGTAGGTCCGTGGTCGGCAAACTGCGGCTCGCGAGCCACATGCGGCTTTTTGGCCCCTTGAGTGTGGCTCTTCCTAAGCCTTAGGAGTACCCTAATTAAGTTAGTAACAATGTACCTACCTATATAGTTTAAGTTTAAAAAATTTGGCTCTCAAAAGAAATTTCAATCGTTGTACTGCTGATATTTGGCTCTGTGGACTAATGAGTTTGCCGACCACTGCCTTATGTCGTTTGCCTCAGGGGGCCTCACAGTGCGGGACCTGCTTCTGTCTGCATTGGAATGTTCTCTTGAGTAAGCAGTTCACAAACACTGGTTGGTATGGGCACCAGGCCCTCCCTGTCACTGAAGTGCTCGACTCTAAAACCATGGAAACGAGGCAGCAGGACAAGTGCATTCTCCTGCCACACTTCCTGCAGGAGTGGGGAGAGCCGCCAAAGCAGAGACCTTAGGGCAAAACAGGCAGCAACAAGCATTTTTAGAATCATAACCGCAAGAAACTCAGCTGTGGGAAAGCAAACACAGCAGCCAGGACGTCCTACTGCAGGTAGACCGCCTCGAAAGGCTCATGCCACATGCGGTCTGGCATTCTTTTTTTTAAAATATATTTTTATTGATTTGAGAGAGGGAGAAACATCAACGACGAGAGAGAATCATTGATTGGCTGCCTCCTGCATACCCCACAGTGAGGATCGAGCCTGCAACCCCAGCATATGCCCTGACCGGGAATCTAACCATGACCTCTTGGTTCATAGGTCGATGCTCCACCACTGAGCCATGCCAGCTAAGCATGCATGGCATTTTTTTCTACAAGAACGAGGAACTGGGCAGCTGTTTGAGGGCATTCACGAGGGCATTCATCCCAGAGGTTCAGCAGGAGGTCCAGTGTCAGCAGGCTGCGTGCCACTCTTCCCGCCAGTGGGTTTCACTGACACTGCAATGGTCTCTGTGGGCAGTGACTTGGGACCGAAGTCCTTTTCTCAAAGGAGGGTTCTTTGATAACTAAAAACGAACAGGTTTCTTAATGTAGAACAAGTGTTTCCACAGACTGGTGGGATTTATCCTGCAATAGCAGGACCCCTGAACTACTACTTTAACTTGTACATCATAACACCCTTTACATACAAACACAGTTCCTCATACATCCGGAGACATGGTCACGGTCCATCCACAAATTCACGTTTGGAAATAAGCTGTAAAGTCATCCTTATATTACACCCCGAGGGAAAGGTTGAAAAGTAGGCCTGTATCTCAGCATTACAGAAAGCACTATTGGCTGACTCTGAAATATTTAATCTACTTGCAAATTGCATCCTTATATGTGCAAGACATGTTTTGAAATTTTAGTGTTTGTGACAGCTTGGCATCACCCCGATTCACCCACTGTGTCAGGGCCCACTGACCAACACTAGCCTTTCAGCTTCGGCCGCCCCAGTAAGTAAGCTAAGGGCCCTGTGAAGGAAGGACAAGCCAGACTTAGTAACTCCTAAAGCAGGCATGCCTCGGCCAGTTGTCCTTCCTGAGGCCTACAGAATTCACGTAAGGCCCCATATTTATCTATTTTATAACCAATAGCTGGTATAAACTAAGGCTGGAAAAAAATACCTAATTTGAATGAAGTTTAGTTACAAAAAGGTTTCCCATTTCAAGACAAAATCTAAAGTAATAAGTCAAGTTCAAGCCCAAACCAGGACCTAAGTGGGCTCCTTGGCTGAGAACTGAATTGCCTCATCTGCCCAGGGACCAACACTGCTCAGGAGTCGGTCACTAGTATTGCATGGGCTCCAAACAGGTGAGCGAGCCACTGTCCAGACCACATGCTCCTCTATCCATCGTAGGCAGAGTTCCATTTTTCCCGAGTTGAACATTTAATGACAGGTGCTGTAGCCAGAAATAGTGAACAAGGTTCTTAGCAGAGCACGTGTGTTTTGCTTGGTGTTGGACCAGGCACATGGCTATGTATTCCATTGCTGCAGAGAAGCATCCTCCTCTTTCACTGGCTGTGGAACACTTCTTCTGGGCCACTGAAAAGTTTGCAAAAGCAGGTGCTGGCAGTGGACAGTGTGTGTGTGTGTGTGTGTGGGGCGGGGGGTGTTGATGGTGGGGGTGGGAGTAGATGCTTTGCAGTCTGGCCCTGAAAGCCAGCACTCACTCTCATAATCCTAAAAGGTGATCGTTTTTTCTTTAAAACCCAAATGCACATCTACACTCCACTTGCAGACTCTAGAGATAGACAGATGGTGGTGGGTTCGGGGCAGGCTCTCTAGAACAGTGGTTCTCAACCTTCTGGCCCTTTCAATACAGTTCCTCATGTTGTGACCCAACCATAAAATTATTTTCATTGCTACCTTATAACTATAATGTTGCTACTGTTATGAATCGTAATGTAAATATCTGATATGCAGGATGGTCTTAGGCGCCCCCTGTGAAAGGGTCGTTCGACCACCAAAGGGGTCGAGACCCGCAGGTTGAGAAGCGCTGCTCTAGAAGGTTCCCTGCCTTCAAAACCCATGCCCTGGGCAAATGGCTGCTGAATTATCCTCACTCTTATTCTGCCATTGGGCTATATTCAAATGCTGTAATGCCAAGATTATGTTTTCCCAGTAATAACTTTGTGTTACTAAGACAACAGCTGCTTCCCATCACTTTCTCAGCAAACTTGACACATCTACAAGTTCACTAAAATCTTTTGATCAAATGTAGCTAACTAAAGAATTAAGGCATGCAATATTCTGAATTTCTAAGTTAAATAAGCCTAAGTCCCTAAGCATTTGGGTCACACCTAATTTTAAGTTTTGGACACTTTTAAATTTACATAAATTTTAGAATCAGTTTGAACAATTCTATGGTAGGTCTGTTGAGATTTTAAAAACAGGACTGAATTCTTTGCACTATTGTCTTCTCATCCACAACCATAATATTGCTCTCCATTGATGCTGGCAAACTTGGGCTTTTTTCCAGGTAACTTTTTTTTTTTTTAAAATATATTTTTTATTGATTTTTTTACAGAGAGGAAGGGAGAGGGATAGAGAGTTAGAAACATCAATGAGAGAGAAACATCGATCAGCTGCCTCCTGCACACCCCCCACTGGGGATGTGCCCGCAACCAAGGTACATGCCCTTGACCGGAATCGAACCTGGGACCTTTCAGTTCGCAGGCCGACACTCTGTCCACTGAGCCAAACTGGTCAGGGCTCCAGGTAACTTTTTAAAAAATTTTCCTCCCATAAAATTTCCCAATTACATATTGCTATTATAGATCTGTATATTAAGCTTGTACTCAGTCACTTTTTTGAAATTTCTTCATTGGTTCTGGTAGCTGATCAGTTAATTGTCCTTGATCTTCTAGGTAGATCATGTTCTTTACAAATAGTAAGATCTGTTCTCATTTTCCAATATTTACATTGTGTTTTTGTGTCTTACACATTGGCTAGGACCTCCAAGAACATCATTGAGTAGAACTAGTGAAGGGTATCCTTGTTTGATCTCTGAGAAGAATGTGTTTACATTTTACCTTTGAGTATGATGTTTGCTTGAGGTATCTTTTAACAAGTTCAGGAATCTCTAGGTTGATAAGTTATTTAGGTTTTAAAAAAAAAATGGTATGGAAAACAAGACTTACTCCAGTTTAAAATGATTCCTCTTGAAGAACTTACGATTAAAGCTAAATATGTAACAGTTCAATGTTGTTTTACTTTGGTACCAGGTAGCTCAGAGCCAGACCAAGCATAACAACTGCATACTATGGCCTGCTCATCTATATTGTCTTGGCATCATTCCTTCCCAACCCTCCACCTATTTTGATTTACATCTTCCTAGATATTTCCCCCTTACTTTACTATTTTATTGCTTGGATTTCCTATCAATTTCCACAAATCTTTAATAGAATGACATTAGTGCAAATAAAACCTTTAGAAAAGACGTGGTTACATTTGGATTTAAAATAACGAGAGAAATTTAGTAGGGTAGAAAAATACTGTGGGAACTTTTAATAAATCCATCAGTTATCAGGAAATCATGTGGAGACCTAACACTGTGGCTAATAAGTCTCTTGGGTTGCCATATGAATCAAGTCTCAAAAAACATCTGGAGTTAAAATGAATGTTGTGGGGCCTCAGTAACCTGGTCCAGAGTAAATTTAGTAGTTAAATGAGGCCTGCTAATCCTTACATTGTTAAGCTTATTTGTCGGAAGTAGCCATTAGAAAGCACATTTTAATTTCATAAAATGAAGTGAAACCCAGGGGCCACTAACATTTTCAGTAATAGGTGCTTAACACATTGCGTACCGCATAGAAATCTCTAAGACATACGCCAGGGACCGCACATTTTTGGGCAAACTGCACATTATTTAAATCATCATAATGCACTTTAAGTGTTTTTCAATAATTATAACATTTTTATTTACAAAAGCAAACAATTAAAGTTCCTAGTACTTTTTTAACGTATGGTGCTGCGTAAAACATTTTCCTCTATGAAGAGGGACCAAACAAAATTTACATAAGTATCTAGATTTGCTCCTTTTCCATGGGCGTGAAAAACGAGAACACTCGTGAGCGGTCCTAACAGATGGCGCGCGAAACACGAGAAAACTCCTGAGCGGTACGAAATGTGTTAATAAAAGTTTGTTGAACGTACAATCCCAGGCCATTTCAAATCCTTTTAAAAAGGCATCAAGGAAAAGTGGTTATACTTATTTTATAGCTGAGAGACCAAACTAAAAAATAACTATTGCTCTCCAGTGTAAATAAGTCCCATAATTTACGATTGTCTTCGACAGGCCTTTAAGTTTAACATGTATATTTCTGTAATTTAAATAAAAGCCTCACTTGCTTTCCCTCTTCAGGACTCTAAAATATAAAAGTCTGATAAAAATGAATTTTAGGAAATGGATTTTATTATCCAAATAGGTTATACCATAGTCCCCCTATGCTTTGCCATTGTTATCCATAACCATGATTTCACAAAAACAAATCTTTAATAAAAGTTAAATTTATGAACATCTTAAGATAACTTGAAAAATACACAGGAAAAAAAAATGAAATCCACAAATTACAAAGATTTTAATATGCACACTGCCAGTCCATCTAAATTTGGCATAGTCAATCTACTTAATTGATTTATTTAATGTGTTAATTTTAAAAAATTCCACTGGGGGATGAATGACATATTATTGCCCTTGACAAAGGTGACAAGTGTGATATTGTTTTGACTAAGAAAGCAAAATATAATTCCTGGCTATGTTATTGTTCTGGCTTATCAAAGCTAATAAAATATGTGAGGGTGAGGTTCTGCCATGCCCAAAGGGGTTAGGCAAATGTAATAGAAGGTGCACTGGGCAGACACACATTTTCATCATATAAATTTTCTGGTAGTTCCTCGTCATCTCCATCAGGAAAATATGTAGGGAATGGTAGATTTTTGCAGAAATCCTTATATGCAGGTAGTTTAGAATCTTTGATCTGGAGGGAGGAAACAAAGGTTTTATTAATGAGTGCTACCAATTAAGTTAGCCTGTTTTATTATTCATAATCAAAGAATATGTTCCTATATTTTCTAATGTGAATAATGCAACTGTTATTATATCTATATGAAGTAAAAGGAAATCAATGTATTCATTTTATTTGAATAAGTTTAATTAATCCAATGATATAATCTTCCATAAGAAGAAAAATTTCTAGAACTGCCCAACAGGATAAATTATATTAAATATCAGTTATATCCAAATGGATATTTCAAATATAAGGATTGATATAGACTATATACCTAAAAGGTATTAATTACTATCAACTTCTTAATGATTTCATCTACTCATATTGTCTATTTTTATTATTTTATAACAGATTTTTTTAGCTCAGATTAAAAATAGTTTACCTAGTATTTTTATTAGTCTTAATTCTAGAACACATAATAAAACTATCAAGTTTTAAGGAAATCAGCTTACATTTAACAAGTAGCATTCTCATTTGGAAGCTAAGAACAGAATAGTATTTAGCAAAAAACAATAATAAATTCATAAGTCTTTATAATATTGCTATTAACTCTATGTTCTAAAAATATTCTAATCTGTGAATTCACAAACTAAGGAATACTACATATGTTGACATAATCTAAAATGATGGTTTTTATTTTTGGAAAACATCACTGGGTTCTTTAAAGCTTCTGACTTCTACAGCCTTCATTCAGAGAGGAATAAAAAAATTACATATAATTATACACACAGAGTAAAATAAGCCATAATAATTTTGGCAATAAGAAATGAATAATTTGGCCTGGCAGGAGTGGCTTAGTGGTTGAGCATAGACCTATGAACCAGGAGGTCATGGTTCGATTTCTGCTCAGGGCACATGCCCGGGTTATAGGCTTGACCCCTGGGGAGGGGGCATGCAGGACATAACCAATCAATGGTTCTCTCTCATCACTGCTGTTTCTCTCCCCACCCCCTTCTTTCTTTCTCTCCAAAATCAATAAAAATATATTTAAATGCCAAACTGTAAAAAAAAAAAAAAAAAAAAAAATGAATAATTTGGTTGAAATAAGTACACACCTGCTAGGAACAGCTAAGTACAGAAAAACATATCTATTTTAATCTCTCATTAAAACTGTTGTAAAAAATTATCAGTAAGGCACCCAGAAGAAAATAAACTCACTTTACCCGCCCTCCCTCCCCCCCGAACTTTAACTTGGACTAAGTCATATTCTTACCAATTTAATCTGTTTCAGAATTTAGAATTGGAAATAAAACCTGAGTAAGTAGACAGTAAAACCAACAATAAAACTTTCTGTGCTAATTTGATAAATGCAAACATTTACTAACAGATGATTTAAAGGTTTCAAGGAGTATTTTGTGGGCTTGTGTTTAAATGTCAGCAGTTTGGTACATCTTTTTTTTTTTTAATTTTGTTTTATTGCTTAAAGTATTACAAAGAGTACATCTTTTGAAAACATTCAGCCCACTTTTTTTATTCTCCCAGGTGAATGCATAACAGGTAAGCCTCTTGCCGTAACAGAGTGAGTTCTTGTTACTTTTACATTTTTGTAAATCTGTTATAGCTGAGGAAAATTTCAGACAAAAAAAGCACTGCTTAAATATTCTAACTGTAAAAGCTACAGTACTATATGTAATTCATTGATTTGAAACATAAAAGATGACAGCAGCTTTAAAATTGAGGGCTGGAAGTTTACAGTCCAAAGGTACAAGACTCATATGAATTTTGTGCTTACATTAATGAAACAGGTTGGTCATTCCAACGACTATCTTTACTAATTTTAGAATGAAAGATACTGGCAGCCCTGTACTCTGAGAGCAAAAGCTCCCATGGAGGGAGTGGATGTTCGTGAGGCTGCCTGTCCAGCCAGGAGCGCTCATTCTCCACAGGCAAGAACTTACCTGCTCTGCAATCACCTGGGAGAACAGAAAAAGTGGGCTGAATGTTTTTAAAAGATGTACCAAACGTCTGGACATTTAAACACAAGCCCACAAAATACTCCTTCAAACTTACACCTTAATGTTTGAAGCACACATTTTAGATTACAAAAGCTGTTTCGGTACCATAATGCAAAGACTTTAAAATCAAAACATGTCTGTGAAAAATGCATTCACTCGTGTGTTAGCAGTTCAAAGTGGACTAGACATTTCTCTGCTGCTGTAAGTTTCTCAAAATATATTTGGACTCCTCTTTAGAAATTGCCTTTGGGCCCTAACCGGTTTGGTTCAGCGGATAGAGCGTCGGCCTGCGGACTCAAGGTTCCCAGGTTCGATTCTGGTCAAGGGCATATACCCTTGGTTGCGGGCACATCCCCAGTGGGGAGTGTGCAGGAGGCAGCTGATCGATGTTTCTGACTCTCTGTCCCTCTCCCTTCCTCTCTGTAAAAATCAATAAAATATATTAAAAAGAAAAAGAAATGGCCTTTGGTGGACCTTCTGTCTGTCTGTCTTCAGTGACAGCAGGCCACCATCCATTAGAGAGCTGACTGAATTTTTGAAAGCAATTTTTTATCAAGTGGATGAAAAGTCTGAGTAATAAATGTTGCTGTTTACAACAACCAGATCAGAAAATTACTACATAGATTATGGTTTTTCAAGACAGTTGACCTATTCATCCCCAATAGTTACTAAGAAGCATCTAAGAAGATGCTGACGGGGTACCTTAGAAGTCAAAGCAGCAGTAGTAGGGTTCAGCTGGAAAGCCAGCCTAGAATCGTGTATGCAGCAAATGGGGATATAAGGAGTTGGCAACATTAAAAAATCCACCTGCTATCCAGTGTAACTTTATTATGGAAAATAATCACTTTCCTCTCTTTTATTGGGTTGTGATATGCATAACGTAATAAATCTGGATTGCAGAGGTAGGGATACATTGAATTATGAAGCCAAAATGTTATGAGAAATACAATGACAACTTGCTGACTTCAACCACTTATCACAGTAGTCACTTGGAGAATAGATCACTTGGGTTTGGAAACCTACTTAAGCCTAAGCACCTGCAATCTTACAAAAGAAACAAGAGAATAATCCAGTCAAAAAGTGAAGAGTGCCAGGAAGGGAATTTTAATTACTCTAAGATTAAAACAAATATTGTACCTTATTCTAGTAACGGAACCTATTTTAAAAAGCACACAAAGAGACCCAATATGAAAAATCTGAGGTTTAAGTTTCAACCTATTTTTGTTGTTGTTGGAAAATTAATGAAAACTATATTTCTAGGAATAGCTGATATAACTTCTATTACAAATTTATTTTCAGAATGGGAGGTTCAAAATTCGAGTGATTTATCACTTTGTATTACCATGGCTTACAATTCCAGGCAGAATATTTAATTTGTATTTTATTTATGAAAATAAGTCTCTGAGAGTCTGAGTTTTTCTTCAAATCTATCCTGTACAACATGTTTATTTTCTTCTTTTCCTTCATATGTTGAACATAAAAATGAGCATGCATATTTTCAGGGAAAATAAAAGTGCAATCAGAGCAATGCTAGTAATAGTAACAACAGAATCTCTCTTTAAAATGTCTACCTTTAATCACCTTTCTTCTGGGCTCTCTCATGTAATTTCCACCTCCAGTATTTCTGGTTCCGGTGTCAAAGTACTCTTAAAGTAAGAAGTCCTTTTTGGGAACGACAGATACATTCACATTTTGGCAAGAGTATCCTAGTCTCCTTTTTATATTTCTAAAGAGCCTCTGCTTCATGGTCCTACCCTTTTCACAGACATACACTATAGGGTGTTCTCTGCAATTTTTGCACTCAGTTGCTACTAAAAACCAAAAATAAAAAAATTCAACAGAGAACTCATGTAGCTTGAAAATTAGGGGCTGTTTTTCATATTCATATAAATGAACAATGGAAAATAAAGACAGCTATACATACCTTTACTAAGCAATTTTTATGTCCAGGTACAGAGCCATTTACATAGATTATATTGTGCTTTGTATTTATTCTCCACACCTAAAGCCATAAATGAAATCATACTTTGAGAATTTGTAACACACACAGTTCACGTATCCTCCACCCCCCCATAAATGTAAAACCTATTAGAACAATCATACTGTTTAAACATTAAACTGAACAAACAACAATTAAACAGACACACATACAGTCCATACTCTGGTGCCTTTGCATTAGGGCATTAATTTAACCATTCCTAAAAAGAGCCACTTCAGAAACTCACTTTCAGTCCAAATTCTGTCCTATCTCTGTTTCCCATTTTCCCAGGCATTTTAGTTCCAGGCCAGACTCTGGCGACATCCTGAATGAGAGAACCAAAGTTAGCGCTTCTAAATATTCTCAATTTAAAACGGTTCTGATGAAAACAAAAGGTAACCTAAGATAGGAATTATTAAAATGTTTAATCCCCTCCCCCATTGTTAGGCCCCAGTAAAGAACTAAATATGGAGTTAGACACATCTACCTCAAGAGGGGTAATCCAGTCTAAATTAGATCAGAGCGACAAAATACATACAGACTAAGAACAGAGTTAGGAGAAAAACTCAGTAACAAGAGAGTAGTCGCTGCGCTAGCACTGCTTGAGAATTTAGAAAGAAAATGTGGTCCTTTGGTGGTGTGACGTGTTTGTTTTGGACATACAAACACGTCACACCACCAAAGGAACAAGTAAGTGCCGGCCTGCTTTCATGAATCTGGATTAGCCCATGTAATGCACTCCATCCGCACCACTGCTGCTGAAATGGTCCCACTCCCCCTCCCTTGCTTTCGATGTTACCTTCCTTCACCAGAATGATTAAAGGACAGTTCGTTATCGGAATATTGAGTTTGCTTGTCCAGCCCTGGTTATCTCCGATTCACATAAATCAAACAGCTTCCCACAGTCTCTATTTTGGTCTGATAATAATGGATAATAATTTTACATCTAAAGAAGCAAATCTGAATTCCATCTAAAATGGGAAAGGTTCTCAGGACACATGAATTCTTGAAATAGAAAAACTTTTGCATCACTACTCTCGTAACAGAAGTCCAGGGGAAGTAACTCATTAAGAGATAACACAGATTAAAAGATAATTTTGAATATTATAGACTAAGTATCATTTTTATTTATTCCATATTTATTCTATAAATACACTCAGTGATAAGCACCTTGCTTAACATTACATTACTAAAAAAAGATCTGCCCTCCCCAATTAAATTTACTCTCCTTAGAAGTATACCCTAACTCTTAAGATTATAAAGGCAGTCGCTAGCTAATCCTTAATGAAAGTATTTACAAACACAGAACAGCATAGTTCATGACAAAAAATTAGGTTGAGCTATAAGAATAGTCTTCTACATGCCTAATTTTTAAAAGAGCTTTATTATAACTCATACCACACATTTCACCCTTTTAAAGGGCAGTTTAATATTTTTAGTACATTCAGAGTTGCGTATTGCTACAACCAATCTTAGGACATTTTCATAAATCCCAAACTAAAACTTCATACCCATTAGTGGTCACTCCCCCAGCCCTGTACAAACCTCTAATCTACTTTCATCTCTGCAGATTTGCCTAGGATGGACGTTTCACATAAATGGAATCAAGCAATTTACAGTCTACTGTGCTTGGCTTCTTTCACTTAGCATAACGTTTTTAAGGCTCCGCCGTGTTATAGCATATATCAAAACTTCTTTCCATTTTATTGCTAAATAATATTGTGTGAATAACCACTCTTTAATTATCCATTCACCAATTGATGACCCTCTGGGTTGTTTCTATTTTTTGGCTATTATGCATAATGTTGCTATGACTATTCATGCACAGGTTTTTGTGTGCATTTTTTCATTTCTTTTGAGGTATATATACCAAAGAGTGGAATTGCTGGGTCTTATTTTACACTTAACATTTTTAGCAACTGCCGCAACATTTTTACATTCCTATTGACAATGTATAAGGGTCCCAATTTATCCACATCCTTGCCAACATTTGTTATCTGCCTTTTGAATTATAGTAATTCCAGTGAGTGTTAAGTAATATCTCACTGTGGTTTGGATTTATTTACATTAATGTAATAGCCAAGGATGTTAAGCATCTCTTCATGTGCTTACTGACCATTTGTATATCTCCTTTGGGAGAATGTCTATCCAAGTCCTTTGCCTACATTTAATTGGGTTATTTTTTTTACTATTGAGTTGTAAGAGTTCTTTATATATTCTGGATACAAGTCGTAGCAGATATGATTTGCAAATACTTTTTTCCATTCTGTGAGTTGTCTTTTCGTTTTCTTGATGGAGCTGTATGCAGCCCAAAGTTTGAACTTTTGATGAAATCTAATTTATATCTTCGGTTACTTGTACTTTTGGTGTCAGATATAAGGCTTTGCCAAACCCAAGATCATGAAGACTTACTCCTATTTTTTTTTTTAATAGGTTTTTAAGGTCTTAAATTTATGTTGATGATAAACCTCATTTTCATAACTATTTTATATAATTTATAACTACATAATTTCATACTTATAACACAAAGAGCTCTCATACTCTACCCAAATTTACCAACTGTTTACAGGTTGCCCACTTGCTTACCACCCACTCTATATGTATGCACATCTCCTATGTCATATGTAATTTGGTGGCAGACATGATGCTCCTTTGCCTGTAAGTATTTCAGTGTCTACTTCCTAATTCTGTTACATAACCACAATACAATTATGAAACTCAAAATTTAATACATTACCTAATTTTGTCAACTGCCCAAATGTTCTTTACTGCTATTTCCCCCCAAGTCCAGATCCACTTCAGAATTACACACAATTGTCATGTTTCTTTAGTCTCCTTAAATCTGGAGCAGCTCCTCAGCCTTTCCTTGTCTTTCATTACCTTGACATTTTTGAAGGCTACAAACCAATCATTTTGTGGAATATCACTCACTTGGGGTTTGTCTAATGTTTCCCTGCGATTAGATTCGGGTGATGCATTTTCAATGGGAATCACCACAGAAGTGATGATGTGTTCTTTTCCTGGAATCCGTTCAGGAGGCATATTGTGTTGGTTTGTTCAATTACTGGTGATGTATAACATTGATCAGTTAGTTAAGGATGTGTTCACTCAGTTAATTCACTCTACGGATATTATTTTCCCCTTTGTAATTAATAGGCAACTTGTTGTGGGACTATGTCAGCATCTAAAGTCCATCAAGCTTTCACCACTTGTTTTAGCCTCCATTGCTAATTCCTCTAATGGCCATCAAAGTGAAATTCTAACTCTAACATCCCTTCCACACTTATTAGCTGAGATTATAGTGTAAGGAAGAGCAGTCCCTTTTCTCCCATTTATTAATCTATTTGTATCAGTGTGAACTCATTGATCCTAAGTTTTTCATTTTTTTTAAGTTTTCAAATCAAACTGTCCCATTTTTTTGCAAGGGGGAGCTAATTGTAGCTGGATCCTGGGTCCTTTCAAGTACCATTTTAAAAGCACTTCCTTGATTTCTTGAACAAGCTGGTGTTTAGAAACCAAGATCTAGGCTCTAGTTGTGTTCATTGCTATGGAATATCTTTGCTTTTAGGCCCTTTCAGTAGCTAAAATGTACGTATATTTATACCAATTCCTTTGTTTACATGAACATATAGTAAATATACACTGGCCAGATTATTATGACCACCCCATCAGTACTTCATTGACACTTCCAAAAATACTGAATATTGAAAACTTCCTAAGCAAATACTCTCAAGGTTTTATTATTTGCATAACTAATTCACTTCATTGTACTGATGGGGTGGTCATAATAATCTGGCTACTCAGTGTATACTGATACCTACAGCTGGAATTCAACATTATAGAGTTATTTTAACTTCCTTCCTTTCCATAACTTAATACCCTTTTCTAACAGTGAGAAACGTGGCTCCCATTACCAATATATTTACCTATCTACTCAACCTTACAATTCACAGAAAATTATTTCAGAATAGCTACCTACTACCATTGCAAATAAACATAATTAGAATTCAAAACCTATGCACAGTACCTTTTTAATTTAGACTCAGGACATATAGCCAAATACTGTGTTCAAAAGTTATTTGAGTTACTCTCCCCACCTGTTTGATGAGGTTATGTTACTCATTTCAAACAGTTAGGTTCATCTTCTAATTATATTCCATTATGGATCCCCCTTTCTTTGTATTTTATTTTGAATACATAAAACATTAACATGGTTTCAACTATAAAAATTTAACAAAAAAGTATATCCGTGGAAGTCTCTCTCTTACCACTTTTGAGCCCTTCCATACTTTTCCCACCCATCTCTTGTAGGTAACCAGTCTTAGTTTCTGGGTTATCTCTTAGGTCCTTCCTTTTTGCAAAAATAACCAGGTAACACGCATTTTCTTATATCCTGGAATTCACCTCATTCTTTTTTTCAGCTGCATAGTATTCTATTGAGCAGATGTACCATACTTTATTCATCCCAACTCCCAGGTATGGAAATTTATGCTTGTAGTTATAATGTTGCAATAACTAATTTTATAAAAATGAGTATCTTTAGGGTAAATACTACCTAGAAGTAGCATTGCTGTGTAGTTCTATTTGATATTGCCACATTATACTATATTTTATCCCCAACAAAAGATGCACTAGTTTGTATCTCCACCAGCAATGCATAAGAACCTGTTCCCCTATATCAGCAATGGTGAACCTTTTGAGCTCGGCGTGCCAGCATTTTGAAAAACCCTAACTTAACTCTGTGTCACATATAGAAATTTTTTGATATTTGCAACCATAGTAAAACACAGACTTATATTTTTGATATTTATGTTATATATTTAAATGCCATTTAACAAAGAAAAACCAACCAAAAAAATGAGTTCGTGTGTCACAGGTTCGCCATCACTGCCCTATATTCTTACTAACACATTGGCAAAAATCAAAGCCACGTAAGAATTTAGTAACTCAAGAGTGGTTTTAATCTGTGTTCCTCTTATGAAAGAAGTAGAAATACTTCCATTTAATACTGATATACATATATATCAAGCTTTAGAGATTAAACTTGCATTATTATGACGCTCCAATAAATTATGCCCCTCATTCCCCCCCAGCACTTTATACTGTATCTCTGGGAGAGTAGAACTGAATTAGCAATACAAAGTCCTTCACCATTTCTTCTCTTACACCATTATATTATCCTTGACAATCCTTAAACTGCCATTTAAGGAAAAATAAGTCTCTGAAGGAACCAGATGAAAAGGCATTCTAATCCCTAATTTCTTGCAACTGACTTCAGAGTGTAGGAGGGGAGTCAGAGATGGGAATGAGAAAGTAGGCAGGAAAATATTTAGAATACTGACTGTAGGGATGTAGGGAACAACTAAATAATTCAAGTCGGCCTCTGGAAAGTAAGTAAGACCAGGACCCACCTTGAATAAGATTAACATTATGTGGCTTGATTCCCAAAGTCAGACTAGAGCATTATATGCACTATTGTAACATTAAAAAGAATACCACTAAGTTATACTTACACCAGTTGAAATAGCTCCAGGTCTCCTGTGAGTTTTCGTTTGACCATGAGTAGCAGGCTGGCCTTTAAATCCCCATCGTTTCATGACGCCTTGAAAACCTTTACCAATGCTGAGCAAAATAAACATCAGAATTTGCACAATGAACAGAGAGCATACTGCACCCAACTGTACACTTTCTTGATAGTACCTTAGAGTTTTAACAAAACTTCTTATCTAAATAACTAGAAAAGGCTATACAAGCAAAACCGCAAATGAAAATTCTTTTATGTCTGACCTGGTTTGAATCCCTTCCTGAAATTTTATATAACATGATTAATTCAAGATTGTGAGACAAGAGCAAGCTAAGCAAAGGGAGTTCAATCTGAACAGGGAGTTTTATCATCATAAGCCTATGAAACAACATAGTAAGAGTGGTAGATTTCTAGAAGTTCCAAAGTACTCACAAGAGATATGGCAGACAACCATTAAGATCCACACACTTCCTGGTACCCAAACCCTCAAGTTCTCACCTCTTCTTGAGTCTGGGTGGACCTAGCAACTCACTTCTAAGGAATAAACGATGGCAAAATTGATGAGATGCCACCTCTGACATTAGGTTATCTCTTGCTTTGATAGGCTCTGAAGGACGCACACTGCCACGCTGTAAGCTATTTTACAGAGTCGAGAGGCAAGGATGTCTAGCCAACAATTGTGGCCCGAAGGCTTGGCGGCAACTCTCCCCAAGTCGAACACTGAGATGACTGCACCCTGGGAGACGCCCTCAGCCAGAGGAATTCAGCTAAGTTTACTGGGATTCCTGACCACAAGCTGTGAAGTATAAATATTTGTTGTTTTAAACTGTTATGATTTAGGGCAATGTGTTATGCAGCAAAAGGAAACTAATACAACAGAACATTAAATAAAACAATAATACCCTAAAAGCTGAATGTTTTACTATTAGAAGATACCAGAAGGATATTGGTTTCAAGGTTTAAATAGGAAGCTAATGACAAAATCAGTTACAATTTCTTAAAGTGTAATATTTCACTTTTTTAAACAAAACCATTCTACTTTCAAAGTCCATAACTAGAGAAACATTCTGCCATGCAGGTGGAAAGCGAACAACACTATGATTCAAAGCATTATGATGTCCGTTTCTATCAGTACAAATCATAAAATAAAAGGGCCTGAATAAATTGTAAGCTGTAGTGGACATATTTTTATAGACTGTTAAGATGAACATTTTTTCCAGCTTTCATTAGATAATATGTCAACATATTTTAAAGTCGTGTATCCTAACCCTAACAGAGCTAGCTGTTATTAAATAGACAGTGAATAGTTCAGGCCATTTACAAAAAAGCAAAAGGTTATGAAAACCACCTTATATCCACAAGCACTTTGCTGTGTATTTAACAAAGAATTATCAGAGAGTAATGAACTGAAGTAAGCCCGTATAATAGTTTGTTATAGATAAATCAAGAATTCAACATAAGAACTATGTACAGAACTTAACAGCTGAACATTACCAGGTCCAAAGTTATTTGTATATGAATAATTTAACTGCACTTACACCACTTTCTTCATAATCAACTGGACACATCACTTGTGTATACATAATTCTTTTCTGCCTCAAAAACTCAAAATAATTCTTATTCCTGATACAAAAGCTAAAATGGAAGTTTCATATAGATTTAAAAATTACAAGATTAACATTTAAGAAGAAAAGCTATGATAATGAATTATTTTACTGAAATTCTGCCTCAGAAACTTAACAAGTATTTCCATTTAACACTAGATTTTAGAACATATTGAAAAATAAAAAATACCTAAAGAGTCATTTGAATCTATCCTATTGTTTGGCAAAGAAAAAACGGGAGTGGAGTGGCAACAAAATCTAAAATGAACATGTTTTAAAAATACCACATTCTAACACTAACCATTCTTGGTAGAAAGTTTGCTGGTGCCTTTTGAGTTCTCAAACTGATTCATCTCTTAGTTAAAAGAGAGCATGACCGTGCCCAATAACACACATGCTAGGTAAATTACATAAGATATTTAGCTCAATTTGAGAGTAAATAAGATGAAAATGGTATACTGAAAGTGCTAATTATCTGTCAGCTAATTACAGATTATTTTTAATCTAGCTCTAGAGTACACCATGTTGTTATACTGTGTACAATGGGAACCTCTTCAATAAATAACTTTTAAACAAAAGGACAAAACACAATGACATGACAAATTATTGGCTTAATTCAGATGATGGAGAATAGAGTGCACCTGTTGATCCATGGGTGGTACAGGTACCTATTCTTTTGTGTCTCTCAGTTGTCACCCAACTTGAGAACAAAACAAATGAAATGAACTTATCTATACTTAGCATACCCACACACATTTCAAATATAAGGTTTTCACAGGTCAAATAAAATAAACCATTTTACCACAAATGATACACAACACAAAGCACACACATGCTTCACTCCCACACCTTTTCTTACGCAATCTTTAATGATAGCAGAAAAATCAAGGAAAATTCAAATAAAAAAGAACACGTTAAAAGTTCCAAATGTAGTGAAACATGAAAAATAGAAAAACAAAAAATTTTATTTAGAGCATTTATACTTGTTAAACCAAGAAATCATAAAAAAAAACACCTCAGAAACAATTTAAATTTAGACTTGATTGCTCTGTTCTTGGCCTATTTCCTTAGCATACGTCCTAGTGCCCAACCTAGAGAAGTCAGTAATTCTGTTGTTACTGGCAATAGCTGTGTCTTAGGAAAAAAGATGATTAGTTTATTTTGCCCTTCAGTTTAAAAATGTTGTATAATGGGCATACCTTTCATAAAAGTTTACTAATAAGTAGATGGTGTTAAGAAAAGGAGAAAAGGAACTTAAAGGTATGACTAAGAATCTTGCAGAAGAGAATGCATAATTTAATGTTTCTAACTGCATTCTATAAATCGCTAGAAATTACTACCAGGTGAATTTCATTCCTATGCCATATTGTGGCAAATGCCTAAATGTCTACCATAGACAGAGGTTTTAATAAAAACCCACCAGTATTTCCCGTTTGTGGGAAAATGACTTCGATTTCATGGTTCAGGATACAGTTATATATAGAGATAAAACAAAATGACTATGAGATGAGGAGTGCTCTCAAGTCCATCCATTCTGAGTCCTCTGAGAACTTCCTCCAAAATTCTCATCACTGAGTCTTTCCCTGCCACTGACTTCTTCTATCTTCTCTCTCCACTGTATTCCTTTCTCCTCTTTCTTAGGAAGCAAACTGCTTCTCCCTCTCTCATCCATCACCTGCAATCTTTTTCTCTCCAAGTGTTCTCTGGAACTCACTCTGAGGTTAATCCCTTAATCCTTAAACACAAAGCCTTTTATTAAAATAACTTTTTATTATGGAAGTTTTAAAACGTAATCAAAAGCAGAAAGACTAGTACAAAGAATTTTTAACTCAAGGACTATTTTGTCTCAACTATTTCCCTCCTCTACAATTCCAATGGATTATCCTTTATATAATAAAAAGCTAATATGCAAATTGTCCCCTTGGGAGTTCGCTCACTCACTATGACATGTGCTGACCACCAAGGGGCGGCACAGAACATGGCGGGTGGCAGCGAGGCCCTGAGGGAGCGAGGGAAGGAGGAGGCAGGGAACCTGATCAGCCCTGATCACCAGCCAGGCCTAGGGACCCTACCCATGCACAAATTTCATGCACTGGGCTTCTAGTTTTGTTTTTTTAATATACTTTATTGATTTTTTTTACAGAGAGAAAGGGAGAAGGATAGAGAGTTAGAAACATCGATGAGAGGGAAACATTGATCACTGCCTCCTGCACACCTCCTACTGGGGATGTGCCCGCAACCAAAGTATATGCCCTTGACCGGAATCGAACCTGGGACCTTTCAGTCCACAGGCTGACGCTCTATCCACTGAGCCAAACCAGTTAGGGCTGGGCCTCTAGTTTTAAAATAAATTCCAGATATATCATTCCGCCCATAAATATTTCAAATATGGGTCTCTAAAAGATAAGGATCCTTTTAAAGAACAAAACCACATTATCATCATCACAATGTAAAAAAATTAGCCATTCCTTAATATCAAATATCTAGTCAGTATTCACATTTCTATGGCCTCTTTTCAAATAGAAGAACTGTCTTCTATCACTCCTTACCACCCTCTCCCACCACCACTCCAATCATCATTTCCTCCCTATTCTCCTGCTTCCCTAATGCTCTTTGAGACACGCCTTTCTCCTTACAGGCACATAAAAAGAAGATCTTAGAGTCTTGCCTCTGACCCTCTTCTCACTATGGTTATAACCAGGGGTTGGCAACTTGTTTTTGTAAATGAAAGTTTTATTATAACACAGCCATGTATATTTTTCTACTTATTGCCTATGATAAGAACAGTGATGGCGAACCTTTTGAGCTCGGCGTGTCAGCATTTTGAAAAACCCTAACTTAACTCTGTGTCACATATAGAAATTTTTTGATATTTGTAACCATAGTAAAACAAAGACTTATATTTTTGATATTTATTTTATATATTTAAATGCTGTTTAACAAAGAAAAATCAACCAAAAAAATGAGTTCGCGTGTCATAGGTTCACCATCACTGAGCTATAACGACAGAGCTGAGAAGCTGCAACAGAGACCATAATGTTCGCAAGCCTACATTTACTATCTGGCCCCTTGAGAAAAAATCTGCTGACCCCTGAAGCTATTACTAATAAACTGGAGTTCCACAAACCTTGCCCTCTGGCAAGAATTCTGCTACCAGCCCATTCTATAGATGTTTGGACCGTAGCTAAACAGAAGTAGCTCAGCCATTCAATTACAATGTTTCAGAAACAGAAATGAACATCACCCTCTTTTCAAGATACCCTCCTCCTGACTACCAGAGTGAAATTCCAAGCTGTTCCCTGCTCTAAAAAAACACATAGAATAACACTAAACAACCATAAATGTTTCCTAGCAATTTCTTTAGCTTGGGGCATATAAGGTCTTTTATAACTGGGCCCAGCCTACCTTTTCACACACTGCCCATTACAGATCTAGTCACAGCAGATTCCTCTGTGAATCCCTAAATATGCCACTCTCTTATATGTCTTTGCTCA